AGAGAGAGAGGGGAGGGAGGCAGCCATTATGAATTTTAATATGAGGAGAATATTAATATCTCAAGCTCTCGTTTTGCGGTGGCACCACCGGAGATCCAATCCGCCCAGAGTCTCCGGACCTCTGGGTATGGTTTTAATAATTATACAATTATTCAGTAGTGATCAGTTAGTTAATAATCGCTCAATTATCTTAAATCAGTCAGTCAATCTCATATCGAAGGGGCAAATTCTCTTGGCAGGGACTTGAAAATAGGCAATACACACACAATTCCTTGATTACAGTGGAGTTTATTAACTAACTAAGGTGACTATAAATGCTGTTACATGTACATCAAAGAAATAAACAATGGCTAAACAATGAGAAGGGTTCTATTGTGGGGAGCGTTTGACTCATACGGGCAGCTAATGAACGCAAGCTATGAGTTTTAAGAGTTAAAGATACTCTATTAACAACTATGGGACATCACTGATCACAGAGTGCAGGGTTTTGGTCTTACTGCGTGTCGCTTCTCCCAGCCGGGTGCTGGTCAATGGCCTCACACTGGCAGAGTCTGTACGTTCTCGGTTAGGACAGCTTCAAGCCGTCGGCCAGTCGCTTTCTCTGCCAGGGAATTGCTCCGGATGTCTGTCTTATGTAGGCTTATTGAAGAAACTTGCAGTGGGGGCCAACCCTGGCGCGGGTCAAAGGTTTGGTCGTCCTTTGTTACTGCTGGCGGGACTACATGGTTGGCCTGGGCATTGGGATCAGCGTAAGTTAGCGTGATGAAATAAAGCTTAAAACTTGGTCGTTCTTCAATTAAACTTGTGTAACTTAATGGTCTGATAACTTTAACAAACAAAAAGAAAGAAAATAAAACAACAAGTAAGTTGGAAGCGAGGGAAAAATCGATGTTGCGGCGCTTCGCGTGTGTGGCTGGGAAACGAACAAAGGCCTTAGCTGCGCCTGGAGACGGAGCGCGCTGGGTGCGTGCCGACGTGCAGTTTGAAGAGGCCAGGAACCAGCAGAGGACAAGAAGGAAGAGAGCGCATGTGTCGCTGCTTTTGTCTTTTGGGGCGTGGTTCCCAGAGGGCAGTCCTTTGTTTCCCTGAGGGGGCTTTGTTTTCGGTTTCCGAGAGACCGTTTTTCTTTAGACATTAAAAATCAAAAATCTATTTGCGTGTATTGTAATCAAATATCTTCCCACAATCAAACCTTAATTGACACACAGCTGTACCGTTCTTATTTTTAAGCACTTGATAAAAAGGACAAGTTAGTTAAAACTTTGAGGTCAGCCTTTCATAGGAATCATGGCATGCAATACTTATTTTGTCCACTTGGGGGAGCTCGGGTTACATGAGGAGTAAATATTCAACTTTGATTATTCTTTAAACAAGCCTTTGCTTCGGAGCTGTGGAATTTGGTTAGTTAACATTAAATTCAAGCTGGAAAATTAATCGAGTATAGGATGACATTTCTTTATCATATCCTTTCTAAAGGAGTTGTCACAAAGTGTTTGGAACAAGCATTGGTTACACATAAAATGAAGTAATGTCATTAACCTTGCTGAATATTAAAACACTGCAAAATTAACTTATTTAGATTCTTTTCAGCAACAATATCAACAACAGATAGTAACAACATGGTAATATAACTGACCTAAGAGGCAGCGCCACTACTAACTTAGCAAGGATTATTATTTAAAGAGAACAACAGTTTATAATGAAACATTGTTTTAGCTCAGGAAGGCAGGAGTCGTTTGTGTCCCTCTTTCGCATTCCTGGCTTATCACACTTGCACATCAGCTAAAAGAACAGACGGGAGTGGTGTTTTATGGCCCAGCTATTCTATGGGAAAAAGGGATCAGAACGTCCGGTACTTTGATGTCCTGAGGCACCCTATAGGGAGAGGGATTGGACACTTCTTTTGCTGTCCTGCTAAGTGTCTGTTGACATCTTTTATGGCGTCCTTAAGCAATGCATGTCTGATTGAGTCTCTGCAGTCCCTTACCAAACCCCAGGTGATGTGTCTAGTTTTTGCATGTCAAAAGGCCTACCTCCAGGGGAGGAAAACTTTCCTACCCCCTCCTTTTTCTCAGAGAGAGAGAGGGAAGGGATTTTTGAGTCTCCAAATTATTTGATATAAAATGCACAAATCCACACTGTTGGTACACAACATGCAGATGACACACAGATTTCTATAACATATCACCAGGGGACTATGAGCCCATACAAGTGCTGAGTATTGAGCAGGTCAACGATTGGATGTGCCAGAATTTTCTACAATTAAACAAAGATAAAACTGAAAGTCAGTGCTCAGCTTCAATCTGTAATATTAAGAACCACAAATCAAATCAGAAATCTTGGTGTAGTCATGGACTTGAATTTGAGGAGCCACATGAAGACAATTACAAAGTCAGCCTACGATCTCCTGAAGAATATATCAAGGATTAAAGGACTTATATCTCAGCAAGACCTGGAAAAACGTATCCATGCATTTATCGACTCGACTACTGTAACAGTGTCTTTACAGGTCACCCTACAAAATCCATCAGACAGCTGCAGCTGATTCAGAACGCTGCTACTAGAGTCCTCATTAAGACCATCACTCCAGTTCTGAGGTCTTTACACTGGCTTCCTGTATGTGAAAGAATTGATTTCAAAATCCTGCTGTTAGTTTATAAAGCACTAAATGGTTTAGGGCCAAAATGCTTCGTTATGAACCATCCAGACCTCTCAGGTCGTCTGGGGCAGGACTGCTTTCTGTCCCCAGAGTCAAAACTAAATGAGGAGAAGCAGCGTTCAGTTATTATGCTCCGTATATCTGGAATAAACTCCCAGGTAACTGCAGGTCTGCTGAAACAGTCATTCTTTTAAATTAAGACTTTTCTTTTTACCATTGCTTAAAAGCAATTAATTAACTATTTACATGGTGAGAAATGAGTAGGTAATTGAGTGAAAAGATAATGAGAGTGAGACTGAACAGAGTGAAGGAAGTGGTCTTAAATCTCGCACTGGAGTGATTTGCCGGGACCTCTGTCCACCTGTAAATGCGCAGATGGGTCCAGAGTATAACTGGATCAAAGTGGCCTGCGGACAGACATGTCCTGGTTTCTTTGTAGTGTCTGAGGGTTTTTGGAATTTCAGTGGACCCAAAGATTGCTATGGACCTGAGCACAGACTAGCTAGAGAGAGTAGATTAAGTGTACTTCTCTGTTTATTCTGTTTTCAAAATAATTGTAACTCAATTATTTGCTCAACCCCTCGGCCTGTTTTTATTTTCCATTTAACTCTTTTAACCCTGATTGTACACTGTACTGTAACTTTTACTGTCCAGTTTTACCCTGTTTTAATGTGTATTTATTTTTTATTTTTTTTCAATTTCCCTATGTTGCTTTTAAACTTTTTTTATACTTCTCTGTTGCTTATATGTTTTGTGTAAAGCACTTTGAATTACCTTGTTGTTAAAATGTGCTATACAAATAAACTTGCCTTGCCTTCATGTTAAAAGTAATTCCTGCACTGCTGCTGTTATGGTAACTTAACGTTACTCACACATTAAAATGATGAAAGAATTTTGACTCTAGACGAAGCCGTTTTCGAGATAATTTTCAAAAACGTAAAGTTGATTATAGCGCCACCATCAGGTCTATCAGTGCCATTTTTTTTGCCTGAGTAGTGGGTGGAATTTGCAACCCACCTGCCAATTCTGGTGAGTTTTTGTGCAGCAGTTTTTTCTGCCCAAACACTTTTAGCAGAGAAAAAGAAGAAAGAAGACGAAAGTGAACAAAAACAATAGGGCTACAGCAGCTTCGCTGCTTAGATCCTAATAATTAACTGGGATTTACAGGATTAAATCACTGCAGTTTTGAAGAATAGAGTAGTGGATAAGTGCCTGATTTGTAACTTGCATAAATGAGCTTCAGAAGTGACATGACAGTTGTTATTAAATTATCTCTACTTCCCATTTTCTTTTTCTGATGTTTGAATTAATATTTTTAATGAAATTCTCCAAAGTCACATCTAAATAAGTCAATGCTGTTGGAGAGGATGTAATAATGCGCCCATAATGTCAACACTTTTTGCCTAGCGGAGCAGTCGTTTCTCTTTTCCGAAACACTGTGGGATGAAAACAGAAAAAAAAAAATCTGGAGGCGACCTCCTTCAAATAAAAACGCTGAAACTGACTCACAGTATTGCACTACTATTCTAGTTCCCTTCTCTGCAGTGTAATTTTATTATCCATATATTGATTGATTGTGTACATATTTACACACTGTGTGTGGTCCTCCGCCTCCCACATTGTAGGGATTATAGCTGTGGATTTGGCACTGCTCTGAGATTATCCAGATAGCTCCTCTACAGAATTTCAACATCGATAAAACCCAGATTACACCCAGGCACATTAATTCCAAGATACACAGTGCAGCAGCACATGACACAGACACACATGCATCTGCACACCCACACGCCATCACACACAAAATGATGAAGTCATTGAAGCCTTTATCTCCTTTTTTCGCTCCAGATGTGTATGTTCACAGAATAAATTTGTACTCTTTGTGCCTTCTAATATAATGCATTTTTACAGGTCAGCAGTTTACACACTAACACCTTATGAATACACATAACTTAGTGCTCCATTAATACACCTCTCTTAGAAAGGATACCCTTAAGATTAGATGTGAAAATTGCACAAACTGAAGACATTTACGTTAATAAAAATAATTCTATAATCCTTTCCCTCATAGATGGTTGACTTTAAGTTGTTCTGGCTATTGGCAAATCTCAGTACAGCACAGAATTTACAAAGAAGGTGATTTGGCGGTTATTTGTTTTAGGTTCAAAGCGTCTTTTAGAAAAACAGAGCCTTTCAATCAAGGGCAATTCAGCTCCCCAAGTGACAAATCTCCTTGCTGATGACTGGGACTGAACATATATATTTTTTGCCTTCCTTCATTCCCATCTAATTTATCTCTTTCCTTTCTCCCTTCTTTCTTTTCTTTTCATCCATGAACCCACAGGTCTATCTCAGGGAGGCAGGATGCTGTGCAGGAGGTCCTGGAGTCACACTCTCTCACCTTAAATTCTGTCAGATCTCTGCTGTCGCATTTGCCCGACCTGGAGAGAGGCATCTGCAGCATATACCACAAAAAGGTAAAAAGTAAGGAAAAGGGACACCTTTTGCCTCTATGATAATATTTTTTCTGACAACCTTGGTCTTATTTTTGCAGAATAGGTAATCATTCCTGTCAGTTCTGAAAACATTTTACTCACCATCTTAAGCTAAAATATGTGGGCGTAGTGACACCGTTAAAAAAATTGTCAAACCAGATGCAGGTGATTAAAAAAGCTGTTTTGCATAAAAATGAAAACCAAGACAATTTTCTCTTTCTCCGTTTCTCTCTGTCTTTTTTTTTATGGCGTGCTTCTTGATTAACAACAGGGAGCAGTCGCCTCAGTGGCACTTACCTGATTGTCTGACAATCTCATTTCCCATCGGGCCCATTTTCGAAATGTCAGAAGGCTTCATCCCGTGTGTGTGTGTGTGTGTGCGTGTGTATGTTGTACAGAAATGAGAGAGGCACTCTGGCCGAGCTTGATTTCTTGTTTCATGTTCAACTTCATGACTTTTTTATATATTCACTAAACACACACATACCACACACCACACAAACAGGGGCCATAATTGCCATTTTACCGTCTGTAGATAAATGGGCCTGTGTGTAATGGCCCGTGTCTCTATGGCTCCATTGACATAAGGGAGGGGTCCATGCTTATGGTCTCCAGTCACTGTCTGTTTGGGTTCATAAAAGAGCATCAAGGGGCTGCTGAAATGGGGGACCATTAAAACCGCAGCATGTGATTGATAGTATAAAGCATTGTCAGTGTGACTCTCATTAACCTTTCATGACTTGGTACTACACTGTAAAATCACTAATGGCAATATAATGTCAATATTAAAGCTGCAAGCAGCGATGGGCGGGCCCTCACACTTGTAACGCGTCGGAGTGTGAGGCGACCGCGTTGCATATTCTGGAGTTCTGCCGGTGCGGCTGTGAATTTGCTACGCGCTTCAGACGCTGCATGAAGGTGTTATACGTCACTTCCTGTGTCCCCTTTGTGGCGCTACATAGCACTTGGTGCTATGACTAGAAATAAATATTGCCGTGTAGATGTGTTTGGGGCGGGACAGTTATCAAGCATGTAACGTTTTGTTCAGCTGTAAGCATGTACACTGAAGTTACAACAACTTCCTGTGTCATGGCGAAGCATCAAACTCTGACGCCACGCCGTGAAGGACACGCCGTTATCTGAAAACTCACAAGATTCACAACATAGCATCATCAATGTCTTAAGGCTCTTCTGAGACTGTTTTGAAGCAGGTGAGGCAAATATGTTGGGAGTAGTACATAACAGCGTAAAACTTGACACTTCCTGTTGCCAGCAGGTGGCGCTATGACATTGTGTGTTTATTGGCATATGGATGTGTTCAGGGCGTGACTCATCCTACTTGTACAGTTTGCTGCAAATCTGAGCATGCACACTGAAGTTATAACAACTTCTTGTTTCACGGCGAATCGATTTTGGACACTAAGCCATGGACATGCCCATTGACGAAAACTCACAGATAGCACAACTTTTCATCGTCAGTTCGTTTAGAAGGCACAGCAGAAATCTGAAGGGGATTGGACTAAATTCCTAGGAGTTCATTAAAGTACGGAGTGTGTAAATCATCCAAAAATGACCATAAAATTCAAAATGGCTGACTTCCTGTTGGCTTTAGGGCATCACTCCAAGAGGCTTTTTGGTACGTCTGGACATGATACATGTGCCACAGAAATTTCATTAAAGTCATTTCCCCTTGCCAGCAGGTGGCGGTATGACCATGGGTGAATGTTGGCATATACATGTGTTCAGGGCGGGACTCTTATTAAATGTGTAAAATTTCGTACCGATCTGAGCATGTACAGTAAAGTTACAAACACTTCCTGTGTCATGGCGAAGCATGGCACTTTGCCGCCACGCCACTGCCAAGCCGTTAACCAAAAATTTTTTTAAAAGTTTTACAACAAGCCTCATCAATGTGTTAAGCGTTTCCTGGGACAGTTTTGAAGTTCATATGTCCAACCTGCTCGGAGTAGTACATTACAGCGTAAAACGTGTCATTTCCTGTTGCCAGCAGGTGGCGTTATGACTTTGAGTGAATATTGGCATATGGATGTGTTCAGTGCGGGTCTGTTATCATATATGTCAAATTTGGTACAGATGTGAGCATGTATACTGACGTTCTAACAACTTCCTGTTTTGTGGCGAATCATGGACACCACGCCACGGACACGCCCATTGACGAGAACTCACAGATAGCACAACTTTTCATCGTCAATGCATTTAGAATGCACAGCAGAAATTTGAAGTCGATCGGACTAATTCCCTAGGAGGAGTTTGTTAAAGTACAAAGTGTGTAAATCGCCAAAAATTACCATTTAATCCAAAATGGCCAACTTCCTGTTGGGTGTTGGGCATCGCTCCAAGAGGCTTATTTGTGTGTCTGGACATGATATACGTACCACTGAAATTTCGTGCAAGTAGGTGAAACATTGTACCATTGTACGGGGCGCTAGCGAGCCATTTTGCCACGCCCATGCGGGAAAACCATAAAATAAAAAAAATTGTCGCCGCGTCTGAATTATGTCCAAAGTTTGGTGAGTTTGAGTATGTTTAGGCCCCCAAACTTAAGGTTAGTTTGCAGAAAAAAAAATTAAAAATTCCGTTTCAATAGGGACTTTGCATGTTTCATGCTCGGGCCCTAATAATGTACAATATCACCTCTCTTCAGAGGAATTTCCATGCGTAGCATTGATTAATCATCAACTGGATTTCATCTTAAATGATCACCGGTTCTATTTTTAAAGCTGCAGCATTGATCACGAGGAAACATAAGAGAGTAATTTGTGTATTAGATTGTAGACAGCTATCTCATAATCTGGATTATCAGCAGTTACCAAAAGAGCTGATATTTACACAAAACGAAACTGATTAATGGCAGCCGGGTGCTTTCACACCTGCCTCGTTTAGTTTGGTTAAATCGCCCTAGAGTTCATTTTTTCCCACTTGATGCGGTTCGTTTGGGCAGGTGTGAACAGCAGCAATGGTACTCGGGTGCGCACCAAAAGGCAAATAATACTCCGTTTACCCTGCCAGTTCATTAAGTCCATAAAACATTTGTGACAGCGATACCACAGCATACAATAGGCTAATAAGCCCCGAGTTATTAATGGAGGCCTACATCTCTTGTTTTTACGTTATTATTCATAATAGGCTATGTGGTCGATCTGCGGTCTAACATTATTAGTCATGCTTATAATAAATTATTACTTTGTGAGCTGTTTGCGAGACAGATCAGAAGCATTAAAGTGCTGCATAAACTTCTGTCAGTCACCCGAGTTTGATTTCCCCATGTGTGTCCTGATGATGCAGGATGACAATTGCCAAAGCTGTCCAATAAACAAGTTACCTGTAAGTCTGTGTAACGTCATGGTTACTTCTCTTGGTTCATTTTGCTGTGAAATGTGTTTTGGGACTATGTTTTATTTCTTTCTGCCATATTGTGGAGACTTGCCGTCTGTGCTGCTGCTAATGAGTGGTGTCTCTCAGAGTGTTGGCTGTTATAAATGGTTGCTCTTTAAGCTTGGCTGTCGTAACCAGTGCAGATGAGATTTTGTGATATAATCTCGCTGGCCCACAGATTCCCCCAGACACACACACACACACACGGGAATACAACATTAAATGCACTTTGTTGGAGAACAAAGAAGTTATTTCTTATTTCTGGTTTATAAATGGCCATTGAGTTTTGATCTGTTGCAGCTTGTCTTACAATTGAGATACACTATGCAACCATCAAATCTTATGTGTGTCTTTATATGTGTTTGTGTGTGTTTTAGTCTTCCACGCAGGAGTTTTACCTCATTAGTAGCAGTCTTTCTCGCCTGGGGCTGGAACTGCAGGCCTTGCTTCCAGTTATCCAATCACAGATCAGCTCGCCGCTGCTCCGAGGCCTCTTGTTGGACACTCCTAACCTGCTGGCTCCTGCCCACAGCTTCCTCAAGGTGCTCAATGAAAAGGCCGCCAAGTAAGTAAAGAAAAGGATGTGTTTGGGGGTGAAAGAAAGAACTATTATTGCATGGGGCCGGCATTACCTAAAAATCAATACAGTGCAATACAAAAATACAACATGGCTGGCAGGCTAGCACTGACATGTTATACACAAACTAGTCGGTACTGATGTACTGTTTAAGCAGATATCTCACAGCTTTATGACTAACTGGCTGATGTGCTACTCAGAATGTGATAGCCTGAAGATTTTGTCTAAGTGGTCATTATTGTTCATTACAAAAGAAAATGGTGAATCAAGTCGAGACTTTATCATTTAAATTGCTATATTGTAGTCTGGCAGATATGAAGTGCAGGACTGCAACTACAAATGACTTTCATTATGGATTCATCTATTGATTTAAAAAAAATTTTTTACTCGTCTTGAAAATGTCAGAACATTATGAAAAAGGCCACCACACTTTCTCAGAGCCCAAGACCACTAACAGTCCAAAACCCAAAGATTTTCTATTGCCAATGATATGAAATAGAGAATCAGGCAGACAATATATCGACAAATGTTTTGAGCCCTAGGGAAGGGCTTAGAATAATACAGTTTTTGGGAAGATTGTCTTGCTAATTAATTACTATGAATTGGTACACTGTATTGTAACATAGTCATGAAATGAAATTTATTTTTATCGGCCACTTTTGAAATATAAGCTGTTGGGGTTTTTTGTCAACATGGTCAGGTTTGGTTATTAGCTGAATATCAAAGATATTCTAGAAATATTAATACAATTATTAATATTCAAAATTATTAATTATAATTAATAAATACGAGGCACCACCCTGGGATCAGGGACCAAGAACCAAATATGAGCCAAGTATGATCAGTCTAAAATCCGGTTTGTCTACCTATAGATGGCAAACAGAGAAGGGTAAATCCGTACACTGGCCGTGGCAACCAACTCTTACTACAACCTTATACACAAATAATCACAGACAACGACTTCTTAAAACTATAATAGGATTTATTTAACTCAAGCACAGATCAATGATCAATAACTTTAGCAAGTAAATCACTATTAACTATTCTATGCAAAAATGAAATAAAGTCAATAAACAAATCATACAAAAACATACAACAATCCAGCAAGTGTGTGTGTGTGTGTGAGAGAGACAAAGGAGGGGCGGAGACTAAGAGAGGCGGGTGGATCCGACCATGTGGGTGGTGCCAGATCCGGTTGTGCTAGAGGCCAGCTGATTTTGGAATCAAGATGGCGGTTCAAACCATGTGGTTTCAAGATCAAGATGGTGAAAAATCACCTAAAAAAAATGGGGACGCACTCTGATGCTAGCCTGCTGTGGGTCACAGGTCTGGTTAGCTTCAGAGATCATGTGGTGTGTGCATGTGGGGTTAGTAAGCAGAAGGAGGAGAGAAAGGCACAGAGCAAAGCCATATACATACGATATACCACAAACTATCTTACAGCCACCAGCAGTGAATGATTCATTCAGCAGCGGTTGCTGGCTTTGGATTAGATAGAATGTGCAATTGGATCTGTTCTCACACAACAGAACCAAACACCAGAAATCCTAATTACTGTTGAAAACACTTTCAATCAAATTCACTACATGAAGCTTGTAGAAGTAAGTTACAATAACAAGGTTATACACTATCTGCTGCCCAGACATACTAAAGCCTCTTACGTGTCGCTTTGCGTCAGTCCTTTTGGGAAATCTGGAGGAGTTTTCTCTCGGCTCGGTTCTGACGATGCCGGTAGGTTCAACGGCACAGCTGATTCTTTGGCAGAAGCAACAGCAATCAGTGAAGTCGACGTTTGTTGAGAAGGTATAACACGGAGGTGATCTTCTCTAAGTTAAGCACGGAGTTTATCCATCTTCTTCTGCAGGCACGAAACGTTATCTTGTGTATAACAGTTTCTTTAGGGATCCAAAATTGTGTTGGTAACACAAAGAAAAATAATAGAGGTAAAAAGAAAGAAGAAAACAGAGTTACTTGTCTGGCGAGTGAAGTCTGTATTCAGGAACAAAGGAAGTTCAGCGCTGAAAGGAAATACCTCCTGTGGCTGTTGGTGCAGTTGCAGAAAGGCAGAGTTTGTTTACCTCCTTACTGTCCCCTGAGGAACTTGGAACGGCGATGAGGGTTCGAAGGTGTTCGGTTTTATACCTCTGTTGACAAAATGGCTGTACTTCCTAGGAACTACTCCGCCCCCTGAAAGCTTAAGCCAATACAAACCTTTGGTTTGGTTTTAAAGTTTAGGGTTCATCTGGGCTTCCCATTGTTCTCTGACCCCCTTTGTGTAGCCAAGCCGCATGGGCAGGCTTTGGGGAATCCAACAGGCCGGGGTCTGGCTTGTAGGATATCAGAAGGCCCAGTCTTTGTTCTACCAGACTGTGTAACCCAACAATGCTCTAAATGAATAAATAACGTTTAGCTTATTTAGGCATAATTTAGAGTAAATAATGTTGTAAATGTTCAATATATTTACACAAAACATTACATGCATGTTTGCGTGGACAAAAAGACCCAGGTCTTTCAGCACACAACAATCACTCCACCTTACTAAACAACCAGGTAATTCAATTCAAGAGGCACAATCAATATATGATTATCACTGTAGCCTATATGTCATCCATGACAAGAGGGAAGCAGATTAGAAAGGGCAGAGTAAAACTGGTTACTGGATGAGTAATGGAGGAGAAGAAGTATCACATTATAATAATTTCACAGAAAGACAACTTGAGAACCAAGTCATGGCATCAAATAATATCATATCATCAGGTACCGACAGATGACAAGAAACACCAAGTTCACCACAGTCTGTTACAATCAGTACTCAATACAAAGCCACCAGTTCAACCGCCAATGAATCAGGTCCTTTTCTCAATTCAAATCTCCACAAAAGTCCATATCTTAACAAAAACCTCCTCTTCTGGATCCCAGGAAGCAAGCAAAAAAAACAAACTCATTTGAAGTTTCAATACAAGCTTAGTGATTCTCCGACAACACTCGGAGTTACACTTGTAGTCTGGCTGGTGCTGTTGGCAAGCAGTGCACTGGCTCTAGGACGGAGTGGGCTCCATTACTGGTGAGTTCAGTTTGAATCGCCGCCACAGAGAATCCCTGTGCTGACTGCTGGCTGTGTGGGTTATGTTTGATGTAATCGCCACAATACACTAACTTTACTACATGTGTCTTTCTGTTTTTATTTTCCCTGTCCGCCAAAGGGGTGGATGGCCCGACGATTTCACCTGCCACTGCCAACAGTTTACCCGCATTTGACTGTTGGCAGCTGCTAATATCAGACTGGTCATAGTACTGTATTATCATTGTCATGATCTCAAAATTTTTATCCAAAGCGATTTACAATTGCTATTTATGTCAGAGGTCGCACGCCTCTTGAGCAACTAGAGATTAAGTGTCTTGCCCAGGGACACATTGGTGGATGTCGCAGTGGGAATCGTACCTGGGTCTCCCACACTAGAGGCAAGTGTCTTATCCACTGCTCCATCACCACCCAAAAGTTATATTATCTATGTTGAAGGAGAAACTGCCGTATCTTTGACTCTTCTACAACTGGATTCTTTAGATGCTGGTGCAAAATGGTAAATCTAGAAATAAGTCTAACAAGTCGACATTAGACACCTATGTTCATGTCTGTGTTTATGTGAAAATCAGAAAAACACACCACAGTACCACAAAATTAGGCCTAAAAATGTACAGTACAATGGAGCTGAACAATGAAGCTCCAAAGAAAAGGACCTTCTAGTGACATATGAATGATTTTATTTTTCAGTTTTTTCCACTGATGAAACAGGTTGATGTCTCAGAAACTGTCCTGTATTGTGTGTCTGTCCCCCCTGAACAGGCTCATTGGATGTGTATTGTGATATGTTCCCAGCGGCTGTCACATTTGGACTCTTTGTTTTTTGTGTTTGTGGAGGTCGGGAAATAAGACCGAGCTGTTCTCAGATCTGTCCGGCTTCCCGGTGCTGCGCGAAAGGAGGGAGCAGATCCAGACTGTCCTAAATGAGATTCAAGAGCACCGCGAAGAAATCCGACTGATTCTGAAGGCCCCGGCACTCGACTACGTAACCGTCTCTGGACAGGAGGTACCATCCGCGTGTGTTTGAGAGTGAAAGACAGGTGGGAGGAGATTGATCGCCTGATTTGGGTGGAAGACTGAGTCACAGGAATGATCTGATGTCTGTGTGTTTTTGTATCAGCGTGTGTCAGTTTTAATCAAGAGTGACACATTCTTTTGTCTGTCTGCTCCCGTCTTGGTGATCAAAGTCTTCCTCCTTCTCTGCCCTCAGTTTCTGATTGAGGTGAAGAACTCGCTGTCGTCCAGTGTGCCACCTGGCTGGGTCATAATCAGCAGGTGATCTCACAGTTGCAGCATGTACACACACTTGCGCACACACATTCTTAACAATATATGAGTTATATCATGGCCATGGAAAATACATATTTCTGACTGGTATGTTTAAAATTGTATATTGATTTAGGACACCGCCTTTTGTGATCATCTTTTTATTGATATACATGCAGTATATTTCAATGAGAACAGCAAACCCAAAAGCATCGACAGTTGAGGCAAGATGACAAGACAATCCAACTATACCGCTACATACACGACCAAAATGCAACAGCGGAGGTGTGTTTAATTTGGTAATTTTGAGTGGTTTAAAGCTGCACTTATCAATATTTTCTGGATTAACAATAGATAGAAAAGAGTATGTGTAATGTGAAATGGGTCACTCATAGTGATGAACGCACAGCGAAAATATCACCTGACTCTAAAGTTACCAATGAGACTTTGTCAAACGTTCACTGTAAATAAATAATATTTAGAGTTCATTATTAGCAACATAAGCAGCTCCTGATGAGCAACATCGATCGCTGCAGCAGTAAACTCATTTGGACTGACAGCTCGGTGGATCTGCTCACTGACAGCAGGAGGTGTCGGCATTTCCTGGCAGCCTCGCCTCTTTCTGGTTGTTTCTACGCTAAGTGTATTGATGCATTTGAGGGGTCGAAAATAATGGACTCAGTATGCAGTATGGATTATTTTCTTATGTCACACTTCATCATGGGTTATATTTTCATATTATAAACTCTCACTGTATTCCAAGGAAGTGGTTCAGATGCCAAAGGGTTGTGATCCCCCAAGGGGTTGCAATATAAATCAGAGTCGGGAGTCGGGAGATGACTAATTAACAGAATAAGAAAGAAAGATGAAAGATACACAAAATAATATTTAATTTAAAGACATTCTGTGATAATGAGTAGAGATTGCTTTGTGAGGGGAGACAACCTAACAGGTTGGTTTCCGGCAGTCCCAACACTTGTTGATTTGACTTAGTGATTGCTGTGCCACCCTATAAGTATACACTAAATACATAGTAATTAAATTTTCTCCTGCAGTACAAAGGCTGTCAGCAGGTATCACTCTCCTTTCCTGGTGGAGCGCTACAAGAAGCTGCTGCAGCTACGGGAGCAGCTACTGCTAGACTGCCAGAGGGAGTGGACAAATTTTCTAGAGTATACACACACACACACACACACACACACACACACACACACACACACACACACACACACACACACACACACACACACACACAGCTGATCATAAACTTAAATGAAAACTGCTAAAAACATGTCAGTCTCTGGCTCGGCGAGATGCCTGCACAGCTCAGACCAGATTTAGTCTGTTTTAGTCAAGTACGCCATCAATGCCGTCTGCACAAAACACAGTATGCACTTACCTTAATTTACACTTGAAAATCTCTTCTCTCTCTCTCTCTCTCTCTCTCTCTCTCTCTCTCTCTCTCTCTCTCTCTCTCTCTCTCTCTCTCTCTCTAGTCAGTTTGGGGAGCACTATCACACCATGAAAAGGGCTATTAGTCACCTAGCAACCATGGACTGTCTCTTTTCATTGGCTGAGGTGGCTAAACAAGGGGACTATTGCAGGTGATGTCCTCTCATGATGACCATAAATATTGGTGTATATGTGTGTGCATGCACTTGTGTCTGAGTTTGCATATGTGTGTGTGTATGTGTCTGTATGTGTGTGTGGGTGTCCTGTGTCGTGTCCTATAGTCTCAGACAGGCTGTGTGTGGGAGTGTGCACCGAGCTCAGCAGCGTACTCAGCCAGAACGCCAACATCTCTCCCACTCACTCACACACACACACACACACACACAAAGTCACACACACAAAGTCACACACACCTTTATATTGTTTATTTCTTCCATTTTTCATGTTTTAGCTTTACGTCCATCCACGTCTTCGTGCTGCAGTCCCTCTTTGTTGCTGTATTTTGACATTTAATTTGTCCTACCCCGCTGCTTCTCTTTAAATCATCGTCTTCTGTTTTGCCATTGCTCTCTCTTTAATGTACTCACTTTTCAACTTGCATGTGAATTTGTGTGTTTTTCTTTTTTTAAAGAAATAGTTTAACATTTTGGGAAATATACTTATTTGCATTCTTGCTTGAGAGTAAGATGAGAAAATCAATACTACTCATGTCTGTACGGTAAATATGAAGCTATAGCCAGCAGCCAGTTAGCTTAGCATAAAGAGTGGAACCAAGGGGGAAATGGGTATTCTGGCTTGGTCCAAAGCTGTGAAGTGTAAAAACAACATGTTGTAGCTTAACAAGCGGTTACAATATGTGCCAGGTTATTTCTTGGCCAGGAGCAGAAACTTCCTGGAGACTCTGCTGGTTGCCTGGCTAGTTAGTGTGCCAGTCTTCTCATATGACTCGGACTGAAGCGTATTTCAGTCAGGACAACTTTAATCAAAGAAACTGGTATTTGCTCTGCAGCAAGTTATGTTATGTTCTGGGATCTCCCTGCCCTTCCATGCACCTATGTGGAAAGCCATAAGACATAGAGAGCGCCTCCCTGCCCCTCCATGTGCATCCATGGAAAGGCAGAGAGCAGCAGCAAAGACTCCCCAGGGTACAGAACAGAGGCATTAATTCAACAGAAATTACATGATTAATCATAGAACCTGAAAGCAGGAGCTGGGGTGGTGGTTACAAGCAGCAAGGGTAGGCAGGCTAAAGCAACTTAAACAAGGCGCCTTGTTTGGAATGCCCATAAATAGAGAAATCAGCTGAGCTGTAATGTGCTGGGATTGTGAGCTGAGCTTTACTTTGTTGCCTGCCTGAACTAACGCTATGCTTGATTTCTTGAAATGTTGAACTGTTTCTTTAAGGAAAGCCAGTATCTACAGTTTTGTTTGTGTGTGTGTGTGTGTGTGGGTGGATGTGCGGGTGTTCATTTTGTATAGTTCATCATAGATCAGATGAGATAAGCCTTTTTTTGATCACTAAAGGGGAAATTCAGGTGTTGCAGCAGCACATGCACAGAAAAAAGGTAATAGAAAAAATAAATAATTAGAAGTATGCAAAATAAAAATATAATTAAATTAAAACTCAAAATTACAAGGTAAGCAGTATGCATACGGACAGTGTGAACACATAGTGGTATGATTAGTAGCAGCATAGGAAAGTACATATAAGAGTAATTGATTGATTAAACGATAAATTGTGCTGCTGTAGATTTTGGCTGATATGAAAAAAGAAATTACACAGCAGTAAACTGCAACAATAAAAGTTTATTGGCAGCAAAATCATTTATTTTTAGCTTTATTTTTGTCTCAATTCAAGTTTTATTTGTTAATTATTATATAAAATAATTAAAATTTCATTTGTTTTTTAAATGTCCAGTATATTTAGTTAGTCTTGTTTGGAAATAAGGTGTAATGTTGACCTGAAGTAAATATCTTAGACAAAATGAGTCAATTTTGTTTCTTATTAGATTTTTTATATTTTCAAATAAGTGGTATTGGCCTCAAATGCAATATTTAATGTAAATGTAAAGATTCCTTTTTTGTATTTTTAATTATGTGTATTATGTGCATGGGCCTGTGTTCAGGCCAGAGGTGTGTGAATGTCAGCATCAGATAATAATCAGGGACGGCAGACATCCTGCTATCGACCTACTGCTGGGAGAGCACAACCAGTATGTACCTAACCTCACCGAACTACAGGTATATTCTCACACACACACACACACACACACACACACACACACACACACACACACACACACACACACACACCAGGCTCATTCAGAGTGCTTCGAGGGAAGTCGAGCCAAAACACACAGACGTTTTCTTGCTCACTAACTCATTAAGACAGTTCTGAAGCAAAATTGCAACAGCTCACACACAAAAATACACACATGATGCACACACATACAGACTTGCATGACACCACACACACTTCCTAGCTCAGTGCTGGAGTGGGTGTAGGTTAATCTTGCAACAGAAGCACAAGCCAATAGGAAGAGAAGCCAAGCTCTCATTCCACCCACCTCCTCAGCTGTGCAGGACAGCATGAAAATATCTTATTCTGTCTCTCTCCTCATTTGCCTTCTGTCTATGTCACTGTTTTAATCCTCTCCTTCTCGCTCCTCTCCTCTCCTACTACAGGGTGATGGCAGAAGAACTATGATAATTACTGGCCCTAATATGGGGGGTAAGAGCTCCTACATCCGCCAAGTGGCCCTCATCTGTGTTATGGCTCAGATGGGCTCCTACGTCCCGGCCTCTGAAGTCCGTCTAGGCATGCTGGACGGCATTTACACCAGGTATGAACTCAAGCACGTTGAATTCTACCTAAAAATCAGCTTGATTTGCCAGGTATGTGTACACATATGAGGAATTTGACTCTGGATTAACATTGCTCACAATGTGCTTACTTATACAATAATACAATAATAAAATCAGGCACAGGCTACAGTATTGTAATAATATAACCTATGATCACCAGCTGTGATTAAACTCAAAAACCTTAGATAGTTTAAAATGGCAGCAGACTGTATTTGATGACTGGCTTGAACTCAACATGATATCAGGTGCGTTAAAAACAATCTAAAGAGAATAAGGCCCCTGCACACTGAATAGATCCCCCCCAAAAAGATGATTGATATGGAATTGACATCTGAGTTTTGTGTTGTAAATATTCTAAATCATTTCATGTGTACATATTGACATAATTGATGGGATCTATCTGGGATTCACACCTGGATGGAATCGGGTGATGTCAGTATATAAACCTTTTTGGTCACATGTTGAATATTGCCTGATGAAGACACTATTTCTCAGAAAATTGTCACAATTACAAATGCTTTTGTATTCTCTTGTTTATTTAGTTTGTTAGCATTTTTGCAAAACAAAAAAAGCAGAGCAAAAAAACAAATCTGAAACACATTAAGATGTCTGGAGATGGACTTGTAGCTTTGAGATTGTCCATGCTTTTCCAAAATATTGGTTCTCAAATCCTCAGACAACTCTTTTATCTTCTTTTGTCCATGCTCAGTATGGTATACACAGACACACAACACAAAGGTTGAGTAAACCTTTCTCCATTTTAACTGGTTATAAGTGTGATTTCTATATTGCCAGCACCTGTGAATTGCTACAGGTGAGTTTATTTACAAATACAATGAAATACAATTATTTATGAAGATTTTGAAAATGTGCCATTCATTTTGTCCAGTCCATTTTTGGAGTTCTGTGTGGAATTTCTTGGATTTGGCTTTTTTTCCGCTGCTTTTTTGTGATGCAAAAAAAAGAAATAAACTTCAGAATACCAAAGTAATTGTAAGACCAGTTCTCTGCAAACGACGCCACTTCTGTCTGGAGTGGGTTCAGACAGATCAACAACTACAAACCCAAAGCCCCCCACTCCATCAATGGCTGTCGCCTGGCAAATGAGCTGAACCAGTACTACAGCCGTTTTGAAAGTCAATCGGACACCATCCCCCGTGACTCCTCTGCTCAGCTTCAGCCCCAGGACCATCAGCACCGGTTTCCCTCAAGGCTTCGTTCTTTCCCCTCTGTTCTTCTCCCTGTACACCAACAGCTGAACCTCCAGTCACCAGTCCGTCAAGCTCCCTGAAGTTTGCGAATGAAACCACCCTCACTGGGCTCATCTCTGGTGGGGAGATAACCCTCCCCATCATCCTGTGTGACTCCCCAGTTGCCACTGTGGACTCCTTCTGCTTCCTGGGCACCATCATCTCCCAGGACCCAAGTGGTTGTTGAACATCACCTCCATCACCAAAAAGGCCCATCATACAGTAGGATGTACTTCCTGCAGAAGCTGAAGAAGTTCAGCTTGCCAAAGACAATGATGGTGCATTTCTACACCGCCATCATTGAGTCCATCCTCACCTCCTCCATCACCATCTGTTACACTGCTGCCACTGCCAAGGACAAGGGCAGGCTGCAGCATATCATTCGCTCTGCAGAGAAGGTGATTGGCTGCAATCTTTCATCACTTCAGTATGTGTAAAACACTGCTTGGTAATAAAGCTCCTTCTGATTCTTCTTATTCTGATGCAACAATTATCTGTGAGAAGTAGTGCATTATGTGTCAGACATGCAGAAGGGTCCATATTTTTGTCCATGACTATACCTACTCCATTATCTAAAAGTGACACAACAATGCCAACACAAGCTACGTTGTTCCTGTCTTTCTGTTGGTTGACTCTATTGTTTTGAGTCATGTTTTGGTATGATACGTCTCTGCTTCATAGGAATGAGACAATGAGGCTTTGTTGAGAAGACCCCCCCCCCCCCCCCCCCCGCTGATGATTATTCTCATTATGAAGAGAGTAGTAAGATCTGCATGTAGTTTCCAGTCCTGACTACACATTAGTGTGGAACACAGGCCAATATATGGTCTCTGTGATTCTGCCTCTGCTGCACTATGTGATTAGACCAAATGGCTTGCAGATGTGTGTAATTGTATTTTTTTTTAGTTTAAGCATGTTCTTATGTATTAACCCAGTAGGAACCAGCACACCAGGAATATGTGTGTGTCTCTGTGTGCTTTCTTACTTATAGGCTTAAGTGAAACAGACTTCATATCAGTGCAATGAGGTGATTTTGACTGGTCACGTATGTAAAGGTCTGCTTTAGTGTTTGGCTTTTAGGGTTATGGAATGATGGATTGTGTTGAGGGTTGAGAAGTAAGGACTTGATCATAAAACCTGGAGATCTATTAATTGTAGTACAGATCATGCATTTTGTCAAACTGAAAACAAAATATTTAAACTAAACCAAAATCAAGCAATCAAGTAAAGTAATCAAAAACATGTCAGTTAGCACGTTACAGTTAAGTGCTGTGTAAAAAACACAATAGTTTAGGTTTAATTAATTGGATTTATGATCAGAAATAGCCCTACAATGTGAATTAGTATTTGAAAAAAAGTTGGAATTTATCACCAGATCAGATTTTTTTAAATACCATCAGCAAAACACTGTAGTTTAAAATGTTTTTCTAAATGTGAAGGACATAATCAGATAATCAGAAGCTCGTTTGGGTTTTCTGTGTTCATGGTCAGCGCCATAAAGCCTTACCTCACCAGGGTGCCACAACTGATCTGCGGTTTTGAAAATGTGGATATTTGTTGGTAAAAACTGGCAACAAAATAAAAGCTTTAGTTTTCTTTATGCTTGTTTAGAGGTAAGACTTTCAATTGGGGATCATATAGTGTCAGCTTTGGGTCATAGTTGTAGTGCAAGGTCAAGTCAGAGAATAAGTGTACACCAGCCAGTGAAGGTCTACATAAGTAAAGCAACGCCTGATCGTGCATGTTTGTTTCCCTCTGTTGTTTAGACTGATCAGGGTTGCATGCACGCAGTTTCCGCTTTCCTCTCTTCACATCCTCTGTTAGCTCTGTCGTCCTATCTGTTTCTAATTGGCCTCTCTCTATCGCTGACTGTAAGATCCTGAGGACAATCTGTTTTGATAATAAACTCTCAATCAATTCCCACCGCTGTGTCAAGCATAATAGACACAGCAGTGGGAATTGCTTTTCATCTTGTATTTGTGTGAGAGATGTTGTGTATTTCATCAGCGAGAGGGAGAGACAGACGTGCAGTGAGAGCTTGTGAGTTTTACTAGAGTGCAATAAGCGGACTTTTTGGATTTGGGGTAATGAGATGGTGCGTAGGTGTCTAATGGGATATCCTGTCTGAAATAATCCAGATGATTGATTATCAATAAGGTTTAAGTGAATAATCTGGAGATTGTGAGACGACACGCTGCTTTGAACCAGAGTCTTGGTTGTATTTTCCTGCCCACTCCACTGTGCTACGGCATTTTAACAAATATGCTATACACCGGTTTTGAGCGTATTTGTGGTGTGTTTGTTCTTTTACATGCTTTAGCAGAGTTAGCCAGCAGCCGTGTGTGTGCGTGTGTGCGTGTGTGTGCGCGTGTGTGTGCGCGTGTGTGTGCGCGTGTGTGTGCGTGCGTGCATTTCCTGGCGGCTGACAGATGCATATGTGTATGTGCACGTATGCAGCTGCTCTGTGTGTGTGTGGTTTCTTGTCCGTATTGAGTCCTGAAGGTTATAGAGCACATTCTTCCATCCCTTCATGGTTGTTATGGAAACAGCAATAGGAAGCAGAATGTAAAACGGTGTTTTTAATCTATCACGGACTCCTAGCACGATTATCCGTGTTTTACAAAAGTCAAGCCCCCCCCCCAACAGAAAATGCAGTGAGAATTTTTTTAAAAACATTTAACAGTCGCACTGTGACAAAGTGAGTGTTGGCAAAGCTTTGTTCTCTGTCAGTAGCCTCAATAGGTCAGGATTAAAAGCAATAGGTAGAGAAAGAGTGAGTAGCCTACATCAAAAGAAGTAAATAACATACTGAATGCAGTGAACATCATAGATAGTACAGCTGATACAGCGTGTTACAGATTTGTGCAGATCTGATGAAAAAATTGGGGGATGGGTCACTAAGACGGCATTTAGGCCTACCCGTTTTAGTCCTCTCCTCTCTTGCATGAGCTTTGCAAGTTTACAACTGGCTGTGCCTAACAAATCGTCACTCCTAATGCCTCAACCCAGCAGCCAATCAAACGTGTCGGCATCTGTGTTATTTACACTGGGGACGCTGGGGTCATGTCCCCATCACTTTTTGAAAGAGTTTGTTAAAAATGCTTTGAAAAATAGCTTGCAACATGAAATGGTAAAGAAAGGTCTATTTGCACTTATTTTTTAATTTTTTTAAGTAAGGATAAACAAGCTAGTTTCCAGCATTCTAGAGACATTTTCTGCACCAATTTAAAATGGAAATGTCTTTATTTATATGAAGGGAAACAAAATTAAGCTGGCAGGTGAAAATTCAAAATATAAAAATATAATGGAATATGAAATAAAAAAATATAATATAAGGGCGGCTGTGGCTCAGGGTGTAGAGCGGATTGCCTGTTAATTGGAAGGTCGGCGGTTTAATCCCCGGCTCCTCCAGGCTGCATGTCAAAGTGTCCTTGGGCAAGATACTGAACCCCAAATTGCCCCTGGCAGCTGTTCTGCCAGTGTATGAATGTGTGTGAGTTTTAGTTTCTGTTTGAGCACTTATGCTGCGTTTTGGAATTATGTCACAAATATAGTAAAACCTGTTCTGCATGTACATTGATGTAGAAATATGTTAGGCCCATTAGGTAGCTGGCTACAGTAAAGAATCTCATAAAGTCATCTTCTCTGCATAAAGGTTATTGTTAAAAATGCCAAAACATTAGGAAGCGTAACCTACAACATTGACTGACTTGAGGGTTACCAACTGATTTATGGGTACACAGAACTAGTAAAGTAGGCTATAGGCTATTTATGTCAGTTGTTGCAGTTAAACTGCCATCCTTATAATTAACACCTAAAACGCTGCTGAGGGTGCAACTGTGTGGACACTTTGTCACAGTCAGCCATGGTTTTCGTTCACTTTCTGCGTCATGCACCACTATGCACCTGGAACGCATTGAGGTCGGAAGTCAGAAGTTTCAACTGGGAAATATCCCAGTTCCGACCAGTCTCGAACGCGGCATTAGGCTCAGTGAATGAATGTGTGTGAATGGTGAATGCAGATTTAGTGTAAAAGTGCTTTGAGTGGTCGAAAAGACTAGAAGGGCACTACACTATACAAATACGGAGCATATAATGCAGTAATCAGCTTTTGGACAATGCATTTGTTTCCTCTATATTTCAATTGCATTGCATGTTTTCTTATTGTGCATTGTTTAATGTGTTATTCAACATTTGTTGTTGCTGTTCAGAACATTTTTAACAAAAGCTTTCAAAAAGTGATGGAGAGATTCAGATTCTGACCTGTCCCCAGCGTCCCCAGTGTAAATGACACCTATCTGTCGATTTTTTTTTTTTAAATGTCCCTCCCCATCCAGGCTGTGATTGGGTGGTTCACGAAAATTAACACTGAAGAGCTACATAGTATTTTGAACCTGAAAATGAGCATAATACCACCTCTTTAATGCTCAAAATTTACTGGGGGAGGACCCGCCGACCACCAACTCATATTTTTCAGCTCTGATGATTTCTATTAAATATTGTTAAATTATCTTTACATCTCCTTCTTGTGACACCAGTATGGTGCGTCGCCACATCTCATGAGCTAAGTGTATCTCTCATACCCCTAATCTGAGCCCTTATGTCACCACTACTTTTCAACACAAAGTGACGCCCTTGTGTGTTGGTATCTTTCTCTTGTTTCAGTAGACAAACGCATGTTTTGAACAACATGTAAGCTTAAAAAAAGACCCCTCTTACACTGTCTCTGTGCGTTTCTCTGCTTACATATCCTTCTCACCTTTCAGTTTGCATACCTGCATTAAAAATCAAAGACTAAACTCAATCTGTGTCTCCTTGAGTGTGTGTGATGTTTGTAATAGGCATGCGATTTCTCTCATTTGTATTAGATTTTGGTTTTCTGATGAAAAACAAAAGCGATAATGCTCTTGAAAATTAATAGATTAGATAAAGTGATAAAGTGTGAATAAAATAAAATAACTGGACAATCTGACAGTCACACGGGAACCACAAGTGTCAGAAAAAACACTTGAAATGTGACTAATGTGAGGTGATGATAAATAGACTCTATTTTAAGAATTCTTTTGGCGGGAAGGAGGGACTCAATGAGAGCAGCAGGACACTCAGCTGTTGCTGTGTTTCTGTTGTACATCCCCTCATCAGCGGACTGACAGCGTGTGAACATCACTCTTCCTTTTCATCTGATTCTCTTTCCTTTCTGCCACGCAGTATAGATCTGATGTCATAATTTCCCCTCAGTTAATGCCATGTCTGCACACACACACGCAATAAATTGGCAAATGAAATGCAGCAGCATGTCTGCTACACCCCTCTCTTATATGGCGTGTGGTGTAACCATGGTAATTCATGAGCTGGTTGTTTGCTGATAAGTACTATATTGAAGGTCAGTCAGGACAGGAAAAGGCAGATTTAGAGGTGAGAAACACAGCCTGGCAGATGTAGCATCTGTGATCCAGCTAGAGTCCAGTTTTTCTGAGATGAGTCACTGCTCTGTCTGTCAGTGTGTATCGGTGCAGCAGAGGAGCTCTCAAGCTGGCTTTGAGGTTTGTGACGAATCCAACAAGTTGTCACTGTGTCCCTGTAATCGATAAGTATCTATCCACATGAACACGACAAATGGCAACATCAGTCGTTCCACTGTTTAGTCTTTAGGCGAGGGAACATCAGCCGTAATTCAAATGTGTTTGTCACTAAATTCATTACATGCGTTCCATATGTAAGAACATTTCTGCATTCATATCCTAAACCCTCTCTGTCCTTTTTCTGTGAGCCATGCTCGTACTACTAAGTGGTATTCAACAAACTCTTAACTGGATAAACTTGTCGTAAAAAGCTTGTTTCAGCCTGATGAGTGCCACCTGTTCATGAGGAGGTGCACGTGCATGAGATTTCAACGTTACCATAGGTAATATTATACTGTCGGCACAACAGACGATGATGATGCTGTGCAGAGACCTGCAGGAATGTTGAGCGTTTTACATTAGCTGTTTTTCGAATATATGAGGATAAATCCTAAATAATTGGAAAATAAATAAATATGGAGCAAGTTTGGTAAAGTTGTTAAACTAAATTAACTTGAGATTGCATCAGAAGGGAAGCTAAATTTGTGACTGGAGTTTTGCAGGTCATGGAACAATGTTAAGAATTGAACATGGCTTCTCAAAAGACCTCAAAAGGCCTAGAGATCCTTATCCCTCACAGTGTGTTGCAGTGGAGAACAACCAACGAGGCATCTGGAACCCTCAAGATGCCCCAATAAAATGACTACCGTGTCCAATATGTTTCGCCTTCTCTCGCGTGTGTGTTCCGTAACATTGCCAAGGGGAATGATGTTTTCTTGAATTTCAGTGTAGTAGTGTAGTATCCCCTTTGGGTCAGAAGTTTTTTGCTGTACCACACGGTCATCCTCTTTCTAAGGGAAGGAAAAAGGCAGATCACACTGTTACTGCAGTGCCGACTGACGAAAATAATAATCACTTTTATTGAGGGATAGTACAGCTGAACATAGACAGGAAATGCAGGAGAGTGAGAGACAGTGGAAGACATACTGCAAAGGAGCTGCGGGCCGCTGTGGTAAGGACTCATAGCCCTGGTAAATGGTGCTGAGTGAGCTAACCTACGTCCCACTGCACTAACGATGAATGGCTCCAGGTTCACTTTTATTCATAAAATCATGATTACATACGTAAGCAGTTGCAGTTGTAATAGAGAAGTCAGTCCCTGGTACTTTACCAATCACCTTTTGTAGTCCAGTTTGCAGTCTGCCATATCTCTCTGCAAAGTCACAGCAACAGTTTATGACTCGATGACCTTCTAATCTGACACAATGGCTCAAAAAACAAAACATGTTGTGCAATCTGATCTCAGCGTAACTGTCTCACCATGTTACTTTTGACCTCTGAACTATCTTTTTTTCTTTGTCTGATTGGTTGTCAGGATGGGGGCTTCAGACAACATCTACAAAGGGCGTAGTACGTTCATGGAAGAGCTGACTGAAGCCTCAGAGATCATTTCCCGTGCAACCAAGCGATCATTGGTCATCCTTGATGAACTGGGACGGGGCACGAGCACCCATGATGGGATTGCAATCGCCTATGCCACCCTGGAGTACTTCATCAGAGATGTAAGTGTGTATTTGTGTGTGTGAATGGACACTGTGATGACACAGGGATAAGACCGATTTAAAGGTATATACATACATATTTACATTTGGGGCAGGCAACAGTGCGGCTGATGAGCTTCAAAATAATGTGAAAGCTGCACTATGGTCAACCACACACGTTCATCTTGTTGCTAAATTCACCAGCACTGGTGGATCTTGAGTCCAGCCCAATTAACCATCACTTCAATGTCATTCAGTAAAGAGGTGTGTATCTACTTGTGTACATGCAGGTGTTTATGTGCTTGTGCACTCTGCACTCAATGGCGATCATTTGTTTTGCAGAGAGAGACGAGGCTCCAGAGAGGCCTCAGCAGCAGAGCGGCTTTGATCTATAATGTTAATATGTTGTTAGAGAGCAAGCTGCAATAGAAGAGGAGGGAGAAAGAGTGACTCTTAGACATCTGATTCTTCAAGGGATGCATGTTGTATGGCAGCAGGCCTCATTCAATCCTCATGAAACACTCAAAATATAATCCAGTGTCCACCTTTGTACTCTTAAGGATCATTCGTTGCTATTTCTTATTGATATGGTTCCTGCTCATTCTTGTCAGCTGTCATTAAAATATTGTGTACAGAAAGAAGTAAGGTCCAATTTTGCCATCAATCAAGGTCAAAGGGAAGAACGGAGGTTTGCGAAAGAGAGGAGACAGAGCTGAAATATGTGGGGCTTTTCAGCTCGTAGTACTTGGAATTAGTGTTACTATGTGGGGACCAAAATGCTTAAAGGGCTGTTTGAGGGTTAAGACTTAGTTTTAGGGTAGGGTTTGAATTGGGTTAAGATTAGGATTAGGCTAAAGGTTAAGGCTAGACATGTAGTTTTGATTGTTAGGGTAAAGGGCGAGGAAATGCATTATGTCAATAAGATGTCCCCACAGAGATAGAGAAACAAGTGTGTATGTGTGTTCTGCTGGGATTATGTGAACTAGCACAGTCAGGAGCCCTTTGGGTATTGCACAGTGTTGCGTATGTCCATTTTTTTTTTCCTGATTTGTGTCAGGAAAGTGGGCTATCATTGCAAACACTGGAAAGTTAATTGTTGTTTCCTTTTTGGATAACTTACAGTTCATTTATGTACCAATTACTGTTAAACAAACTGATACTGTAAGCACAGAAAACTAATTTCACAGTTTGACAGGGCTGCGTGCTCAAGGTTATGGCATCAGTTAGGACACACGGCTGTTTATATTCTCAGCTGTTTACTCAGAATATTTTCCACTGTATACTATAAACTAAAGAAACATTACAGCTTCCTGTTCGTTCTCGTTAGAGGTTTTTCTATTTAAACTCTAAAATGAGGCCAATTGAATTTGGGCTTTTACCTCTGCTGTCAGATACCATGTCAAACAAGTCAAGTAGTGTGAATGCACGTTTATCAGTGTTGAGACAGACTTTGTGTTTCTTTGTAGTGCATTTTAGCCAAGTTTTGGCTTGGTTTTTCAGATCTTAGGCTCATTTTACATGTGACGTTTGAATATCTGTTCATTGTGTGGGCAATTATCTGTGTATTGAGGCAGGACATTTATAGGTGAACAATTCACTATTAACAATGATGACAGTAAAAGTAAATACAAGATGACAGGAAATCTAAAAAACAACACTTGAAATTCAAATTCAAAGATAAAATTCAACCAATATATTTAAAGCTGCACTGTTTTTGATCCATTGTTTTATCAATGGATGAAATTACATACGTAATATGAAAGGTATTGCTTGTAGTAATGGACCTGCTAGGAATTGCCCGACTCTGCATTCCCCCTCAGCTCTAAAGAGCATTTTAGTCTATTTTGGATCATAGTTTAGTTTTTTGGGCCCACAAACGCTGCTCCTATCAAGGTCTTTTTTTCAGCAGCATCAGGCAGCTGTCTACTTGCCAAGCTCCAAACAATACACAGAAAGAAGTAAACGGCTGGTGAACATAGTGAAGTATTTCCAGTAGCAGGAGTTTGAGAAGACCAAAGCCGAGCTATGAAAGGACAATAATATTTGGCTCGGAAACAAGACTCGAACTCAAACATGTTAGCAATGTCAACTTTATAAGCAGGGTTCTTACTGGCTCAGAATGAGTCTTTGGCGAGTGACTACGCATGACAATAAGCATGATTGGCCCACGTAAAGTAAAAAACAATGCGTCTTCCTTAAGGCTCATACAGACTACACAACTGTCAGCGTGTACTAGACAGGAGGTTATACACTACGCAAGCTGACAGTGGCTGAGTCACCTGATGCTGGTCTCCAAACCACATTTTTTTCAAGAAATGTGAAACGAGAAGTGACGCGTACCTACACACGAAACTGCTGTTGTTTGTTATTACAAAGCTAGCAATTATAAAGACAAAGAATATGGGAGAAATAATGGATCATCACACGCAGGTAGCAGGGATTGTCTGAGCTACAGAGAGAGCTGGAGGTGAGTAAAAAGTGTTATAGGAAGACATAAGAAAAATAATAATCTCTTCCAAAAATCGATGCTGATGTATGAATGATAATTTGATATTGGCTGTGTGTGTGTATGTATGTATGTATGTGTGTGTGTGTGTGTGTGTGTGTGTGTGTGTGTGTGTGTGTATATATATATATGACTGTTACCTGCCAATATAACAGTAGGTTTTACTTTGGATTGCAGTCTGCTAAACCCTATTTAGCAAAAGCAGTACAAAGGTCTTAACAGTTGGGTGGTGTGCATGTGGTATTAGGGCCATCCAGACTGTAACTTCTCTTGGGAGATTTATCAACTCAGATGCTCTATGCTGACCCTAGGGAATGCGTATTTAACAGCACACTTGAGGCAATTTGTTTTGCTTGCCAATGTGGATAAGCACACTACCAGCTGTTTAACTGACAGTCAGTGAACTACACAAACCACTGATTCTGAATTTGGACCTCCTGGTGGTTGTGAAAAGACGAGCCTTAGGGTACAGCTCCCACTTCAGTCCACACTGACAGAGACCATTGATGGGTTTCTAGAGTTCTACCACTAAAGCATACTTACTCTACTGCTGCCTTCTGGGTAATCAGAGCTTACACACTGTATCCAATCTATGAGAGCTGGAATAAAAGTATTTTCTTATTTTCAGTTTTCCAAGACCTTAGTCAAAAAGCTCCAAATTGCCCCCTGTTCATATATAGATGAATAAACATTTATCTTTGTAAAACCCCTTCGAGGTTTTCTACGTTTTGCCAGGTACACATTAGTCTTTGGACAGGATCTTGAGGTTATGTAATTCTGCTGGAAAACGTAGAAATAAAATGTGTAAGTAGCAGCTAATGCAGCTGAGAGATGCTGTTGGCAGGAGGAGGGAGCTCTCCAACTACCTGTTGTATAACAGCATTGATTTGTTAGAAAAGCCTTGCTATTAAAGGAAAGACAAACAAAAAAAGTTATGCTTTACAGGGAAAGGCCTCTTCAGTACAAGCAGATCTGCAGTCTTTCATACTCACTCCTCCTCCTCCTCCTCCTCCTCCTCCTCCTCCTCACCAGACTCAAATGTTCACGTCAAAAGTCGGACTGCTCCTCCTTTAACTCGGGTTGTCATAGTAACACACCTTTCCCTGTCCCCAGCACACACCTGAGAGGTAGTTAAGAATGTAGATAGGTTTCATAACACCACTCAAAAAAAAGACGGCCTTGACGGCAGAATGAGAAGAGGACACAGAAAAGCACAGGAAAGAGGACCAAAACTAGGAGTTGCTTCTGCTCGGAGTTTATGGTGAAATCACAACCAGCATATGGTTGGTTCAGTACACTGTCTAATTTAATTCCTTTCTAGCTACGATGTGTACCTCATAATGCCCTCTTCTTTAGCATTACTCACTCTCAGACTCACTTGGGCTCTCACTTTTATTCACGCTAACAGCAGGTCCTGCCATTAGCTTCACACTAAGCTCAGCACTACACATTGCTCTCCACTCGTACCATGACTCAGATTTGCATGCAACTTTGCTGACATTGTAATACTGCACTGAGATATCAGACAGAATCTGGCCCAGCTTTACAACTACAACTCACTAAAGCTCACTTTTGGCTGCACACTAATGGGTAGAATTGCAGTATGTATTGCTCTGTGTGGGCGTAAATGGTCTGATGTATTCACACTGATGCACAAAGCTCCTACAAAGACCCACATGTGCTCCACTGCACTCTGCAGTGCTTTGTCCCTTCACTGTTCTCATACACAGCACATGGAGAAGATGCTAGTCTGTTTTTCTCTCAACTCACTGTGATTGCATTCCCTCGTTGAAATTTTTAGTTGTTGCAAGTTTGATTTGTAATTGCAGTCCAAACATTGTCAAGAGCAGTGGTTCCCAACATGTGGGTGGGGACCCCAGAAAAGGGTCTCAGAATAAAGGCCTTTTCAGACGGGCAACACTCCGCCTGCGTACTTGCTTAGATCTGCATGGTCGCACTGCGCTCTGTGGGTTGTTGCAATGATTATTTGTGATGAAATTGTGGGAAAATTGCAAAGGTAGATGTGATATTTTTTTTTTTACGTATATGTTTTGTGATGGCAAAGTGTTTGTCAATAGATCATTTCCTTTTATGTTCGACCAGAATACCCCTGGGATATGTGCATACAACCGCCATCTTTGCCTTTTTGGGCTTTCTCCATAGAATTCTAATCAGGATTCTTTAAGTAGCGTGTCTCTTTAAATGCAATTGTCTCTGATTCCCATCTTTAAACAGAAGTACTTTAAAAACTGAAACGGCTTTCTTTTCAAAACCTTCTAGAAAAATCACACTTTGCTATGCTGACTGTTGTGGCAGGTGTTATTGAGGAAGTGCAAGTTCTCTAAATCAGTAGTTAAATCTGTTCTTTGAAGGATGTTTATGTCTCTATCTCTAGAAGAGATAAGAGCATCCTGTTCCTACTAATGGGAATGAAATAAATTTGCCCTATGTGCCCAACTAAATTTCAGTGTGCCAAATGTGGTAAGACATTTCTTAAAATCAAAATACCAAATTC